CCCCCCCCCCCCCCCAATCTGTGGTCCTTCTTAACACCCCCCCTCCTTTCCTTTCCCCTGGGGCCTAGATCGTCTAATTGCACCAATTGACACCTTATTTCCTTAAGAACCATGTTCGGTGCAAAGTCTTCCCTCTTTAATATCTAATTTCTATTTTCCTCGATAATCTGGCGTGTTATTTTTCTTTTTTATAACAATTTGTTTCCATTACATTCTGAAACCAAGCCAACCACAATCTTCTATCCTTAGGTAAATTCATGAAATTCTTGATCTGTTCACTGGTGTCAAGAGTTCATCTGTTTAGTGATGTCATTAGTTGATCGGTTCAATTAGGTAAATAGTTGATCTGCTGAGTGATGTCAACAGTTGAACTGCTCAATGATGTCAATAGTTGTTCTGCTCAGTGATGTCAATAAATGATCTTCTCAGTGTTGTAAACAGTTGATCTGCTCAGTGATGTCAACAGTTGATCTGCTCATTGATGTCAACAGTTGCTCTGCTCAGTGATGTCAATAGTTGATCTGCTTAGTGATGTCAACAGTTGATCTGCTCAGTGATGCCAACAGTTGATCTGCTCAGTGATGTCAACAGTTGTTCTGCTCAGTGATGTCAAGTGAGAGTGCAGGAGAAACTGTTCCATCCATCAACTTACACTTTTCATTTTAACACGACAAGATCTTAAAGAAGTAAGGCGTTTAGAACAGGGTCTGGATGGTTTACGCTTTGAGAACCACTCTTGATTGTGCTTTTTATCAGAGACGTCTTAAGTGCCCCCATCCACCACACCACGTTCAAGTATCCTTTCATAAATTTTCCCGAGTCTGTTATCTCGCTCACCTTTGATCTTCACGTCTGACCACCCATCCAACCATCGCCAACCCCCCCCCACTCCCACTCCCACCCCCACCCCCAACCCACGAGCCGTAGAACGCGTTTAGCAGACAATAAAGCAAACCCGACCAGCCGTTGACTAGCCAGGGGCGTACTGGTGGTTCCCCTTGGGACGGGACTCACAAGAGTTGATCAAGGTTAATGGCCTACCAAAATCCGATAGACGAGTCGCACTTGGGACCAGCATGTTAATATCAAAATGACAGTAGCCAGATGGTGCTGCCCCTCTCTACACTTATGGTTCCGCCCCTCAACCCTAGTATAGCTATTGGTACACAAACAGATTAAAGGACGAGTTGTCGATCAATAGCGGTTGTCACATGGTTGGTACTAAGACACATGGTTGCGACCAAGAATTAAATATTTATAATACCACAGATTTTTATTGCAACAACATTCCCACAGAGATTTACATGTACACACGTACGCTCCTACTGATAATTACGTGTACACTCCCACTGAGAATTACATCCAAATTAATACTGAGAATACATGTACACTAATGGAGCGAAGCACGGAAAGAATCTTTGTTAAGACTGGGAGAAGGAGAGATACTTTGTGACTCAATGTCACGTGACGCACGACAATAACTCTAACGTATGACGTGATCAATTTATCAGTACTCGTGGAAGGCACTTCGAAAAGAAATGACATGACCGGAACAAACACAAACTAATTGACTGAGTTCGAAGTGAAAGCTGGTTTCCTTTATTAAAGAGACCAAACATAAAGTCTTATTTATTTTGACGTGTCTATCAACTATCACCAAAAAAATAGAACTGGTTTGTTTAAATAAATGCCTTTTTTTTAAGGAAACCAATTCATAGAAAGGAAGTTTACTCCTTCCTATGTCCTCCTGGTCCCCTGTAGTCATTTTGACCTTGACATTAAGCTCATAAATCCTTAAACTGTTCGTTTGTAGCTCTCCTCGCTGAGAGTCAAAGGATATACCTCATCTTATCTTTCGGCTCCTCTAAAACCTTTAACACCATATAAAATAGTTTAACCATCCTTTCTACCAGCTGCCCCCCCCCCCGGGATACAGACACAACCCCTTTTAAGAGCCCAAGCGTTTCCACGCCCCTGACCATCTGGATGACGTCAAAGGATATACCTCATCTTATCTTTCGGCTCCTCTAAAACCTTTAACACCATATAAAATAGTTTAACCATCCTTTCTACCAGCTGCCCCCCCCCCCCGGGACACAGACACAACCCCTTTTAAGAGCCCAAGCGTTTCCACGCCCCTGACCATCTGGATGACGGGCTCTGTTGTTGTATTGAAAGGTGCAGATTTGGTCGATTGTACTCCCACAGCTGGCCCGCGCGTCAGCTAAGCACACAGAAGGCGTGGAGGTCGCCAGTTCAAGCCTCTATTCAAACCAACCATTATTCACTTGGACTTTTCATTCTCCCAAAGATTTTTTTTTTTCAATTTTTTTTGCCTAGATTCTCTTTTGTAAAGGCGGGAGCTGAATTGGAGATTAATTGGCTGGATTAACTTCCAGCTTTCGTCTTCCACTCGGAACGTTTCGTCTTCCACTCGGAACGTTTCGTCTTCCACTCGGAACGTTTCGTCTCCACCACTTCAGTGATTGGTTTTTCTTTTTTTTTTTTTTGAAACGTACAACGGAGTGTTTTTGTAGTGAAGTATTCGAATGGGATAAACTATTTTTGTTGTGACGCATTCGAATGGGATAAACTATTTTTGTTGTGACGTATTCGAATGGGATAAACTATTTTTGTTGTGACGTATTCGAATGGGATAAATAATTTTTGTATCTATTATTCGAATGGGATAAACTATTTTTGTAGTGAAGTATTTGAACAGGATCAACTATTTTTATAGTGAAGTATTCGAACGGGATAAAATATTTTTGTAGTTAAGTATTCGAATGGGATAAACTATTTATTATGTGACGCTAAATGTTAATATTAGTTGGCAGTGAGTTCTAATGTCTGATGTGAGTTTGTGTTGTAATGTCTGATGTGAGTTTGTGTTGTAATGTCTGGTGTGAGTTTGTGTTGTAATGTCTGGTGTGAGTTTGTGTTGTAATGTCTGGTGTGAGTTTGTGTTGTAATGTCTGGTGTGAGTTTGTGTTGTAATGTCTGGTGTGAGTTTGTGTTGTAATGTCTGATGTGAGTTTGTGTTGTAATGTCTGATGTGAGTTTGTGTTGTAATGTCTGATGTGAGTTTGTGTTGTAATGTCTGGTGTGAGTTTGTGTTGTAATGTCTGGTGTGAGTTTGTGTTGTAATGTCTGGTGTGAGTTTGTGTTGTAATGTCTGGTGTGAGTTTGTGTTGTAATGTCTGGTGTGAGTTTGTGTTGTAATGTCTGATGTGAGTTTGTGTTGTAATGTCTGATGTGAGTTTGTGTTGTAATGTCTGATGTGAGTTTGTGTTGTAATGTCTGGTGTGAGTTTGTGTTGTAATGTCTGGTGTGAGTTTGTGTTGTAATGTCTGGTGTGAGTTTGTGTTGTAATGTCTGGTGTGAGTTTGTGTTGTAATGTCTGGTGTTAGTTTGTGTTGTAATGTCTGATGTGAGTTTGTGTTGTAATGTCTGATGTGAGTTTGTGTTGTAATGTCTGATGTGAGTTTGTGTTGTAATGTCTGATGTGAGTTTGTGTTGTAATGTCTGATGTGAGTTTGTGTTGTAATGTCTGGTGTGAGTTTGTGTGGTAATGTCTGATGTGAGTTGTGTTGTAATGTCTGATGTGAGTTTGTGTTGTAATGTATGATGTGAGTTTTTGGTGTAATGTCTGATGTGAGTTTGTGTTGTAATGTCTGATGTGATTTTGTGTTGTAATGTCTGATCGTGGACTCTTAATATATAGAAGAAGAAATATGACATTAGCGATATTCCTGTTCCATCACTATCACATACACAAGAACTTGCTCTGTTATACACAAGAAATTATTATGTTATACACAAGAACTTGCTCTGTTATACACAATAACTTATTCTGTTATTCACACGAACTTGCTCCGTTATACACAAGAACTTATTCTGCTATACACAAGACATTGTTCTGTTAAAGTGGAAACTTTCCACGGAGACTTATTTCCAGATCGTTCTTTGATTTATTTAGATACTTCTAGACCAGATAACTTGTAGCGATACTTCCTATACAAGATAAAGCCTTTATATATTGTATATTTCGATGCCACAACCGTCTTTAACGTATTGTACATTTCGATACTATAACAGCCTTCATGTATTGTACTTTTCGATTCAAGTTTTGACTTACAGTATCGTCCATATCGATACCATCACATGGTTGAAAATATTGTGCATTTCGATTACCAGATTGGTTATGAATGGTCCTTAAAGAACTTAAAAATATATTTTCCAGTGTGTCTTTTATGGGCCTAAATCTCAATATTGACTTAACTTCTTATTGTAAGGTCAGAGGACGTCAGCTGTGGGGCCCAACTCCAACTGTCTAATAGTGGGATTACAAGTTCATTGCGTCTTGATATTGATTTCACATGGAGCGATCCATCGGTATATTGGTTGGTGTTACATGTAGACTTTTCAGAAACAGTTGTCAACTGTACGGTGTCAAGTACCGTGTCAAGTACGGAATCAAGTACGGTGTCGAGTACGATGTCTGGTACGGTGTTGAGTACGGTGTTTGGTATGGTGTTGAGTATAAAGTCGAGTATGGTGTCAGTTACGGTGTCGGGAACGGTGTAAAGTACGGTGTTGAGTACGATCTCGAGTATAGTGTCGGGTACGGTGTTGAGTACGATCTCGAGTATAGTGTCGGGTACGGTGTTGAGTACGATCTCGAGTATAGTGTCGGGTACGGTGTTGAGTTACGATCTCGAGTATAGTGTCGGGTACGGTGTTGAGTACGATCTCGAGTATAGTGTAGGGTACGATGCAGAGTGATTCATTTCTTTGCAGTTTGTCAGTTGTAACATGAATTTCCAAGCACAATTGAAATAACTGTAAGTTGTCGTTTTAAAAATGCTACTTTTGTGTTTCCCTAGCAGTCCTAAGAAACATTTTCAATAGGGTCTTTATTTTGTGTTGTAAGCGATGAGATACGGGCCTATTAGATCTGATCGCGGCAAGCGCAAAGCCAGGTCACTTATTCAGCTTTGATAAACATTTAGTTTGTGCACGGCTGGCTGGTAATGGAGTGAAGATGGTTGAGACTTTCTTTGTGGGAACAAGCCACGACTCAACAAGAACCAGTGACAGGAAATATAGACGGCAAGAGAATAATTGACAGGACATACAGACAACAAGAAACATTGACAGGAAATATAGGCAACAAGAATCATTGACAGGATATATAGACCGGAAGATGTCACGAATTAGTGATTTCATCAAATGGAGGGATAACTCAAGATGCAGGTACGAACATGTTGTTGGTTCTGTCCCCTATTTTGTAAAATATTTATATCGAAAACTCCCTCCACACTTAAAAGTCATGTTTGTGATTGGTTAATATGTCTCTTTAATTATAATTAATTTATAGAGAATTTTAATATAACTAGTTTACAGAGAAATTTATTATAACAAAGTGATAGAGGAATTAATTATAGCCACTTAAAAGAGAAATTAATTATGATAGGGTTTCTTTACGAGAAGTTAATTAAAATTAGACTTAAAGAGAAATTAATGATACAACTTTATAGAGAAATCCCTGATAACAAATTTATACAGAATTTTTATAGCAATCTTATAAAGATATTAATGATAATAATATTATAGAGAAATAGATCGTCAGGAAGTCATAGTAAAAAAAATGCTGTAGGAAAAAAATATTTAAAAAATTATGAAAAGGTCTCATGCCAGGCCGGCAAAGGGACATCACTTGTTTGTGCTTGGATATTCTGACAAATCTGTTTCGAAAAATAAATTTGAAAATAAAAATCTAAATCAGACACCAACGAATTTTAGCTGGATGCTCTTTAAAATGATCTTTTTAAGGTACCAACACAATTGTTTAGGATCACTCGTGAGGCGATCTGGGTCACAACTTGTATCTATATTAGGCACATTCATCTTTTTGCAATTACTGGTGTTGTTGTATTAAATCAAATCAGACACAGTTGTTTGCAATACACTGTGGTATTAGATCAAATCAGACACAGTTGTTTGCAATACACTGTGACATTAGATCAAATCAGACACAGTTGTTTGCAATGCACTGTGTTGCAATGTTAGTTACAAACATACAAACTTGTATCTGAATCAGTGGCGCCACCTGCATGGTCCCAGACAGCGGCGTAACTATGTATCCCAGGGACTAAACAAACATTGCACTCCCTCTTCCATGGAACCATAGCAATCCTAAGGTTTATTCCAACAACAGTCTCTTACCATACTCTTACCATACTCTTACCATACTCCGTAATGTGCCACAAATGAGTCTCCATTACAGTATCCTTCCTTAGCTCCCCTTTCTCTCTCACTAATCCTTTCTTAGCTCCCTTTTCTCTCTTCCTAATCCTTCCTTAGCTCCACTTCTCTCTCCCTAAGCTTTCCTTAGCCCTCATTTTTCTCCCTAATCTTTCCTTAGCTCCCCTTTCTCTCCTTAATCTTTTCTTAGCACCCCTTTCTCTCCCTAATCTTTCCTTAGCTCCCCTTTCTCTCCTTAATCTTTTCTTAGCACCCCTTTCTCTCCCGTATCTTTCCTTAGCGCCCCTTTCTCTCCCTAATCTTTTCTTAGCACCCCTAACTCTCCCTAATCATTCCTTAGCTCCCCTTTCTCTCCCTAATCATTCCTTATCTCCCCTTTCTCTCCCTAATCATTCCTTAGCTCCCTTTTCTCTCCCCAACAGGTACTTACATTTATACGACGATGGCTGTTTCTGTTCGGAGACATATCAGATTAGTCAGTGTCGTAGCTGAGGTTAGTATCACCCGGGGTGGGCGGGGTTGGGGGTGGGGGTGAAACTTATTTCCGCCTCCTTTCATGACATAACCATTAACTGCTAGACGGTAATGCCGCCAGCCAACACGTCATTCCTTCGCCCGTTTTAACTAACAACTTTATGAATACGACCGACTGAAGTATATAATAAATCTGTTAATCTATGAAGAGTTGTCCCACTTGACAAAGTCTGAAAGTGGCTGTTTTTTGAGGCACTTACCTAAAGAATTGTTAGTTTCCGCCCTCAAGACAGTGTGTTTACTAAAAAAATAAACTTGATTTTGCTTCAAAGTCATTTAGAATGAAATTTTCTCGTGGATGTAGTTAGCTCAAGGAAGACGTGTTAAACTGATAACGACCAGCGTCGATGTCCTCACATAGAGTCAGAGAAACATCATCAAAAAGAAACAGTCCTCAAATGGACAGTAAAACATGATGTGAAAGAAACTGTCCTCACATAGAAAGAGAGAAACATAATCTGAAAGAAACAGTCTTCACACAGAAACAGAGAAACATAAACAGAAAGAAACAGTCCTCACCTAGAAAGTGAAACATAATCAGAAAGAAACAGTCCTCACCTAGACAGTGAAACATAATCAGAAACAAACAGTCCTAACAAAGAAACATAATCAGAAAGAAACAGTTCTCCCATAAAGACAATGAAACTTAATCAGAAAGAAACAGTCCTCACTTGGAGACAGATAAACATAATTGGAAAGAAACAGTCCTCAAGTAAAAACATAATCAGAAATAAACAGTCCTCACATAGAAACTTAATTTAAAAAATGATCAATTTTAAAAGAAAATGATAACATGATTTTCTTATTCTTAAAAAAAAATATACCGGGTAAATATTTATTGTTAACATGTCAGCCTCTACCCACAAACCCCCAAGATCGACTTGTAAGTACAGATCAGCACCGGTCATTCTCTGATTATAGAACCTAGATTTTACTGCTCGCCAGATCAGTTGACCCTTCCTCCAAATGAGTTGAACCTTCCCCCAAATGAGTTGACCCTTCCCCCAAATGAGTTGACCCTTCCTCCACATGAGTTGACCCTTCCTCCAAATGAGTTGACCCTTCCTCCGTGTGAGTTGACCCTTCCTCCAAATGAGTTGACCCTTCCTCCAAATGAGTTGACCCTTCCTCCGTGTGAGTTGACCCTTCCTCCGTGTGAGTTGACCCTTCCTCCAAATGAGTTGAGCCTTCCTCCAAATGAGTTGACCCTTCCTCCAAATGATTTGACCCTTCCTCCAAATGAGTTGATCCTTCCTCCAAATGAGTTGACCCTTCCTCCAAATGAGTTGACCCATTCTCTAAATGAACTGACCCATTTTCCAGGCCGCAACCCATTTGTGAAACACAAATAACTTTTGTTTAGCTTAAAATGGTTCTATTTTCTTATAATCCTTTATATTTTTTCTATGAGTCTCTGTTTAATATAGCTGTCTATGTATATCAAGCTTGTCTATGTTTATATAGCTTGTCTATCTTTATATAGCTTGTCTATGTTTATATAGCTTGTCTATGTTTATATAGCTTGTCTATCTTTATATAGCTTGTCTATGTTTATATAGCTTGTCTATGTTTATATAGCATGTCTATCTTTATATAGCTGTCTGTGTTTATATAGCTTGTCTATGTTTATATAGCTTGTCTATGTATCTTGTATTTTCTTTTTGTTACACTTTATGTCTGTTTTCATTTCTTGTCTATCCTTATATATTATCTTGTCTCTGTTTAGTTCTATGATCTATTTGTATATTTTTCCAAGTGGGTCTCAATCAATTAGTGAAGGTTTTAATATTAATTTATCGTAGGGCGTCGAGTTTCATTTATAAAAGGCGTTATGAACAATCTCAATACGTGATTAACTCTAGGTGACAGGGAACAACTCTGTACCCTGACAGTCTTATGCTCAGGAAGAACCAGAAGTTTTTAAGTACACTTTGCATAGTCTAAGATGTTAAAACTTGTCTCCTATATTATACCATTAGCCAAATTTATACTCGTCTGAAAAACCGATCATTTTCAATATTTGGCTACGTCACAAGACAACAAGGGGAGAAAATCGATAACCTAAAGTCTAGGTTTTTTTGGGGTTTTTTTTGTATTGAACTTTTTTTGTGTCTAACGTTCGCTCCCTTGTCGGTAGTCGAGTATTGACTATAAAAGTGTAGTGCCCCTTTATCACCCTTTGTTTATTGTCGTTGTAAGCTCCTTAGCATTGATGTACATCACGTGCGGCGTTGAGAATAGGTCACGTGACCCGCCAAGATAATCACTAAGTATGCGTTTACGCATTGCAGTAGGAGGGCGCCTCGTACAAAATCTGTCATTGGACACGACAACTTAATGACTAAGCATATGTTTATGTAGGGCACGGGGGGGGGGGTGGCGTTGATAATGTTTATATGAGCACAAGATGTTGTATCTACGTTTAATATGGTGTCAGTTGTTTTGATTGTTGCACATATCTTTTGCCTGAAACTATACAACTGATTATACTTATTTCTTTCAGAAAATCATTTTGGCATTGCGATATCGTGGTCACATCAGCTTAGCTTGGTGACGTCGTTGTCACATCAGCTTTGTTTGATGACGTCGTTGTCACATCAGCTTACCTTGGTGACATTGTTGTCACATCAGCTTAGCTTGGTGACGATGTTGGCGCATCAGCTTACCTTGGTGACGATGTTGTCACATCAGCTTAGCTTGGTGACATTCTTGTCACATCAGCTTAGCGTGATGACTTTGTTGTCACATCAGCTTAGCTTGGTGACGTTGTTGTCACATCAGCTTACCTTGGTAACGTCGTTGTCACATCAGCTTAGTTTGGTGACGTTGTTGTCACATCAGCTTAGCCTGGTGACGGTGTTGTCACATCAACTTAGCCTGGTGACGTAGTTGTCACATCATCTTAGTTTGGTGACGTAGTTGTCAAATCAGCTTAGCTTGGTGAGTTGTTGTCACATCAGCTTAGCTTTGTGACGTTGTTGTCACATCAGCTTAGCCTGGTGACGTAGTTGTCAATCATCTTAGCTTGTGACGTTGTTGTCAAATCAGCTTAGCTTGGTGACGTTGTTGTCACATCAGCTTAGCTTGGTGACGTTGTTGTCACATCAGCTTACCTTGGTAACGTCGTTGTCACATCAGCTTAGTTTGGTGACGTGTTTGTCACATCAGCTTAGCCTGGTGACGGTGTTGTCACATCAACTTAGCCTGGTGACGTAGTTGTCACATCATCTTAGCTTGGTGACGTAGTTGTCAAATCAGCTTAGCTTGGTGAGTTGTTGTCACATCAGCTTAGCTTTGTGACGTTGTTGTCACATCAGCTTAGCCTGGTGACGTAGTTGTCAATCATCTTAGCTTGTGACGTTGTTGTCAAATCAGCTTAGCTTGGTGACGTTGTTGTCACATCAGCTTATCTTAGTGACGTTGTTGTCACATCAGCTTAGCCTGGTGACGTTGTTATCACATCAGCTTAGCCTGGGGACGTAGTTGTCACATCATCTTAGCTTGGTGACGTAGTTGTCATTTCAAAGCGTTTACCTTGGTGAATAATTTCTAAAAATTTTTGGATTCAACTTGAATTTTTCTATTTGATCACGTGTTCGTGTTCAATGCAATTAATGAAAACAAAACGTTTGACATTTCTCTCAACCCGACCATTTAGGTTAGTTGTGACCATTTCTTGATTGGGTGAATGTGACCATTTCTTTATTGGGTGCATATGACCATTTCTTTATTGGGTGCATGTGACCATTTCTTTATTGGGTTGCATGTGACCATTTCTTTATTGGGTGCATTTGACCATTTCTTTATTGGGTGCATTTGACCATTTCTTTATTGAGTGATTGTGACCATTTCTTTACTGGGTGCATGTGACCATTTTTTTATTGGATGCATGTGACCATTTCTTTATTTGGTGCATGTGATCATTTCTTTATTGGGTGATGTGTCCTTTTCTTTATAGGGCACTTACGACCATTACTTTATAGGGTACTTACGACCATTACTTTATAGGGTACTTACGACCATTTTTATAGGGTACTTACGACCATTTCTTTATTGGGTGCATGTGTCCATTTCTTTATAGGGCACTTACGACCATTACTTTATAGGGTACTTACGACCATTACTTTATAGGGTACTTACGATCATTACTTTATAGGGTACTTAGGACCATTACTTTATAGGGTACTTACGACCATTACTTTATAGGGTACTTACGACCATTTTTATAGGGTACTTACGACCATTTCTTATAGGGTACTCACGAGACCATTTCTTTATAGGGTACATGCGACCATTCTGTCAAGAAAGGGGCTAAATCTCTTGAAGTCAGTTGGATAACCTCAGCTGAGACACGCAGACTGGCCCGAAAGAGCAATAATAGATCACCGACTGCAGCAACCATTCCCTGCCCCCAGTGCCAGAAATTTTTCCGAGCAAGGATCGGTCTAGCAAGCCACCTTAGAGCTCACCATAACTCACCCTCCTCCCTAACCGGATGACGCGATGGCCGTAGTTGATTTTGACGGACGAACAACAACATGCGACCATTTCTTTAATAGGCTACATGCGACTATCTCAACTATCAGGACGTATTGTGGGTGTTGAAATTATACGTTTTTTTGTAATTAGAGTAGATTCCTGTTTAAAGATTGCATTTTTTTTAAAAGGATAATTTATTAATTTGTTCGTTGCTGTGAGAGGGTGACATATAATGTTTTATTATGAGGTTTTGCGGTATTCAAATGAAACTTATTCTTTAAAAGTGAAGAATGATCACGTTGATTGAAGAATGATCATGTTGACTAAAGAATGATCACGTTTGTAGTAGAATGAACACGTTGAATGTCAAATAACAGCGTTGACTTTTGAGTGATCACGTTGACTTTAGAATGATTACGTTAACTTTTGAATGATCACGTTGTTCGAAGAATGATCATGTTGACTAAAGAATGATCACTTTTGTTGTAGAATGAACACGTTGAATGTCGAATGATAACGTTAACTTTTAAATGATCACGTTGTCTTGGAAATGATCACGATGACTGTAAAATTATCACGTTAGTTCTCGATTGATCACATTAGTTTGAGAATGAGCACGTTGACTGTTGAGTAAGCACCTTGATTGTAGAATGAGCCCGTTGACAGTAGAATGATCACGTAGACTGTATAATGATCACGTGCACTGTATAATGATCACGTTGTCAATGCATTGGAGCTTATTTACCATGTAAACTGACAAGGAAATAAATATTTTCTCTATAAAATATAAGAACACTAAATGCACTTACAATAAACTCTAACGTTGAGTTACAATTGAGTTGATGATAACCTAAATTCGTCAGATCTTAAGTTGTAAAGTGATAGGGAGAACTACTTTAAACAACGCTTTATTTGTAAAGTGGTAGTGGGAAGGTTTTAACACAAATGGCAAGTAAATCTAGATGGTTGGAAAATAAATAAATTTAAAATGGACGTTCCAGATTTTAAGAAAGTTTCCTATAGAAAGAGTCTTATGTCCTCAATTTAGTTTTTCATTCCCGTGGAGCCATGTTCCTAGACGATTCTTTTATCGCATTAGTGGAACTGTGAGCCCATCAAACGTGATTTAGTGTCGCGGTCTGTGATTGGCTGATGGACAAGAAGGGAAATGTAAACCATCGATTCAATGGCTAACTTGATTAAACAAGAAAAACCCGTCTTTCGGGAGGCAAGATTTTCTGGACAAACTCCAAAATAACGGGCATGGCCTTGACATTGTTTTGGGGGTCGAATCAAGGACATGGCATTGAAATTATGATGGGAGCAAAATACAGAAATGGTATTGCTATCACGTTGCGGGGTTCAATAGGGAAATGGATGTGTTGAGAGATGTGCATCTTGTGAGTGAACAACGTTCCAGTGGGAATGGAGATCTTCGTGTTTTGGGTCATCACATTTACCTTAGCATAACAATGTCCCACAGGCGGTAGTGAGAATAGAGATACTATTTAAGTTGACCATCAACTTTCTTGTGAGAATAGAGATATTCATTTAGCTAGTTATCAACTTTCTAGAGGAAATAGAGACCTTTTTGAACTTTCTAGAGGGGAAATATATGTTCTTTGAGATAGTCATCCCCTTTCTAGTTGGAATAGAGATAGTCTTGATTCTATGTACCTAACTTTAACATTACAATTTAGCACAACGGTATTTTATGCACCTAATTTTAACCTAATAATTTAGCACAGATGGTATTCTATGCATTTAACTCTAACCTAATATTTCAGCACAGATGGTATTCTATGCACCTAACTCAACTTAACATTTCAACACACATGGTATTCTAAGCATCTATCTCAAGCCTAAAGATTTAGCCTACATGGTATTCTATGCATCTAAGTCTAACCTAAAGATTGAGCACATACAGTATTCTACACACCTGCAGACATCTTATATAAGGTCTTTAAACCTGCATTGTCAAACAGTCCTTACGCTAGCAGTAAAAGTGATTGTATAATTTCTATTTGTAGTACAATGGTTCCCAACCCATGGATCACGACACAAAATATGGTGTCGAAGCAGATTTTATGGCGTTACCTTTGAAAGAAAATGTATTGTTTTAAAGTTTCTTTTGTACTGGGTGTCTGAAGTTTCATTTGTACCCGGTGTCTAAAGTTTCATTTGTACCCGGTGTCTAAAGTTCCATTTGTACCCGGTGTCTAAAGTTTTATTTGTACCCGGTGTCTAAAGTTTCATTTGTACCCGGTGTCTAAAGTTTCATTTGTACCCGGTGTCTAAAGTTCCATTTGTACACAGTGTCTCAATTTTCATTTGTACCCGTTTTTTAAAGTTCCATTTGTACCCGGTGTCTAAAGTTTCATTTGTACCCGGTGTCTAAAGTTTCATTTGTACCCGGTGTCTAAAGTTTCATTTGTACCCGGTGTCTAAAGTTCCATTTGTACACATTGTCTCAATTTTCATTTGTACCCGGTGTCTAAAGTTTCATTTGTACCCAGTGTCTAAAGTTTCATTTTTACCCGGTGTCTAAAGTTTCATTTGTACCGGTGTCTAAAGTTTCATTTGCACACGGTGTCTAAAGTTTCATTTGTACAGTTTCTAAAGCTTCATTTGTACCCAGTGTCTAAAGTTTCATTTGTACCCGATGTCTAAAGTTTCATTTGAAACTGGTGTCTAAAGTTTCATTTGTACACATTTTCTAAAGCTTCATTTGTACCCGGTGTCTAAATATTCATTTATACCCAGTGTCTAAAGTTTTATTTGTACCCGGTGTCTAAATTTTCATTCGTTCCGGTGTCTAAAGTTTCATTTGTACACGGTGTCTAAAGTTTCATTTGTACACGGTGTCTAAAGTTTACTTTGTACCTGGTGTCTTAAGCTTCATTTGCAACAGGTGTCTTAAGTTTCATTTTTATACAATGTCTAAAGTTTCATTTGATACTGTTGTAGTTTATATTGTCAATGTTGATGTAGATGTTGTTGATATTGTTGTGGTTTATGTTGTCAATGTTGATCTAGATGTTATTGACATTATTGTAATTTATTTAGTCAATGTTGAAGTAGATGTTGTTGATATTGTTGTAGTTTATGTTGTCAATGTTGAAGTAGATGTTGTTGATATTGTTGTAGTTTATGTTATTGATGTTAAACCTGGTATTGATATTAATGTGGCTTATTGAATTTTAAAAAAGCCTTTATTTAATCAAAAAGACTTAATGCTAACAAAATATAAATTTGAATTAAATTATTCGAAAACGTGTAAAAAAATTTTTGTTGCACACACGTACACACGCGTTGACAAATATTCAAAATTCAAAAACACACAGTCACTCACAAAGACAAAGAAACGAATACAGACACACAATCAGACTCAAACAGAGCCGCATACAAACACATCCAAACACATACAGACATGCATCTAGTAACACAACACAAGCAAATAAAGACACATACATATATGCATCTAGACACAAACAGACCTGCATACTGACACATCCAGACACAAACAGACCTGCATTTTGACACATTCAGACACATACATACACGCATTCACACACGCACATACACACATTAATATACAGAAACACGCATATACGCTTTCAGACAGACACCTACAAGCAAACCTCCAGACACTCATCCAGACACACAAAGTGACACATACAGACACACATGTACGCAAACAGATAAACAGAGACACCCATACATTCACATACAGACACACAAAGATACGAATATTATATAGTGCTGTATATCATTGGTATAGTGCTCTACATCTATCGTATACTGCAGTACATTTATCCTATAGTGCTCTACATCTATCGTATAGTGCTGTACATCATTGGTATAGTGCTCTACATCTATCGCATAGTACTCTACATCTATCATATAGTGCTCTACATTTATCGTATAGTGCTCTACATTTATCGTATAGTGCTCTACATCTATCGTATAGTGCTCTACATCTATCGTATAGTGCTCTACATCTATCATATAGTGCTCTACATATATCGTATAGTGCTCTACACTAAACGTATAGTACTCTACATCTATCGTATAGTGCTCTACACCTATCTTTTAGTGCTCTACATCTTTCTGATCTAATTTGTTAAGACAAACAGCAAATCGCCAAGCCGAAGCTCGTTAGGTCGTCCCCATGGTAGCCCTAACCTTAACTCTATCCCAAAGCTCATAAGGCCGTCCCCATGGTAGCCCTAACCCTAACTCTATCCCAAAGCTCATAAGGTCGTCCCCATGGTAGCCCTAAACCTAACTCTATCCCAAAGCTCATAAGGCCGTCCCCATGGTAACCCTAACTCTAACTCTATCCCAAAGCTCTTAAGGCCATCCCCATGGTAACCCTAACTCTATCCCTAAGCTCATAAGGCCGTCCCTATGGTAACCCTAACCCTAACTCTATCCCAAAGCTCATAAGGCCGTCCCCATGATAACCATAACTCTAACTCTATCCCAAAGCTCTTAAGGTCATCCCCATGGTAACCCTAACTCTATCCCAAAGCTCGTAAGGCCGTCCCCATGGTAACCCTAACCCTATCCCAAACCCCATAATACCACCCCCATGGTAACCCTAACTCTCACCCAAATCTAACCCTAACTCTATCCCAAAGCTCATAAGGCCGTCCCCATGATAACCATAACTCTAACTCTATCCCAAAGCTCTTAAGGTCATCCCCATGGTAACCCTAACTCTATTCCAAAGCTCGTAAGGCCGTCCCCATGGTAACCCTAACTCTATCCCAAAGCACATAAGGCCAGCCCCATGGTAACCCTAACTCTATCCCAAAACTCATAAGGCCGTCCCCATGGTAACCCTAACCCTAACTCTATCCCAAAGCTCATAAGGCCGTCCCCACGGTAACCCTAACCCTAACTCTATCCCAAAGCTCATAAGGCCGTCCCCATGGTAACCCTAACTCTATCCCAAAGCTCGTTAGGCCGTCCCCATGGTAGCCTTAACCCTAACTCTATCCCAAAGCTCATAAGGCTGTCCCCATGGTAACCCTAACCCTAACTCTATCCCAAAGCTCATAAGGCTGTCCCCATCGTAACCCTAACCCTAACTCTATCCCAAAGCTCATAAGGCCGTCCTCATCGTAACCCTTACCCTATCCCAAAGCTCATTAGGCCATCCCTATCGTCACCCTAACCCAACGTATCCCACCTCCCCAACATGAACCCATTCCCGCCCTACAACCCGGAAACCGAAAACTCTGGGGACCGCGAAGGGCACGCTGGAAGAACTCCGCGCTGAGACAGCCTCACTCGCCGTCCACCCTATTGAACACCTGATCTGTTGGTAGTGCTGCTCTTACAACAACAGCAATGGAAGGAGCACCTAGTCGGTTGGCAGTGCTGCTCTTACAACAACAGCAATGTAAGGAGCACCTAGTCGGTTGGCAGTGCTGCTCTTACAACACCAGCAATGGAAGGAGCACCTGGTTGGTTGGCTTTGCTGCTCTTACAACACCAGCAATCAAAGGAGCCCCTGGTTGGTTTGCAGTTTTGCTTTTACAACAACAGCAATGGAAGGAGCACCTGGTCGGTTGGCAGTGCAGCTCTTACAACACCAGCAATTGAACTTTCTATGACCGGGATGAATATATTAAACGTCCCTGAAGCGCCCCTTGCCATTGTGGTGTCTCGTTAGACGCCCTCTATCAGTGCTTCTACAAGTCAGTGGTTTTCAACATCCTGAAAACGCCACGAAGCAGTTGGGACAGCCGTGACTGTCACGAACAGTCCCGTCGACGGCTGCATGATAGCATCACTGGCACGGTCTACCACAACCCACCCACGCCTCATGTCCATCAGCGGCAACTGGTCATCATGATCCCGACCTCTTTCTGGCGTTATTTTCAACTGTAATTGAGAAGGTTCTCAGCAGCAGATCCCATAAAAGATCTATATCTCCACACGCAGGTCCCCTAAAATGTACTGATGTACCCCGGGTAGCGCCGGGGGGTCGGTGACAGCGCCTTTTTACCGGCTTTTCCCTACCGCCATGTCGACTGGAACCCCGGGGAGCCGTTACTGGAACCACTGGGCAGCCGTACATCTATCGTATATTACTGTCTTAAATTAGAGGACAAACAGTAATTTATAATCTGGACTTATTTTATTATATAATTTCTTCTTTCTTACATCATTAAAGACATTATAACTACACTCATTGTGGTGCTGTTAAGTATTCCATGGGAGCTGTGTCACAAGAGGAGAACCACCGTCCCCAATGAGAACTTGAGTTGACGTCTGTTGAAAAGCCAGACTGTTGGTACTTGTTAGCGATACGCTGATAACATCCTCTTCGTGACGTCACGCATGGTGCGCGCGTTATAGGGTGGCATATATCTTCTCGCCTTGAATGTCAAGGGTTCTCACCATTTCAATTTTGATTGATCCCCCTTACTTTCGAAATAAACATAAAATCTAAAATTTATGAGAATCAGTGGCATGCCAAGCTCAATTTCAGTAATTCAAAGTGAGTTTAAGACAATGGTTCTCAAAATAGTGGGACGCCCCATATGCAGCAAAAAATAATACATATTCCACACGCAAAAGACCAAATATGTATAGTTTTTTTTATTAACAAGTTTCTCACCCTCATAGATTTGAACTCTTAGGCAGTACTTCAACAAGTGTCTTTCTTCATAGGTATGAACTCTTTATCAGTTCTTAAGCAAGTGTCTTTGAAAATAGATGCTATAATATCGTTTGTGTCAATTATTCTGTAAACATAATTAGAATTTTGGGTGGATAAGGTCATCTTTCTCTGCAAGGGATGAGAACCAGTGATTAATAATTTTTTAATCAAAAAAATTATTGTTTTTTTTTGTTTTTTTTTTAAATGTATAAGTACACATTTTTATAAATGTTAACATTTGAGTAATATTTGTTGGAATTGAGTAAAATGTATATTCTTTAAAAAAATATGTCTCTTAACAAAAAATGTGAGAAGCACTCAATGAGATTGCATCGTATATCGCTAGATAATCTTGTTGTCGATCGTATGAGCCCTAATAATCTTTGTTAAGCAGCACAAAATCTGACAGTGTAGCATGTGTCATCTGCCTTAAGGTAGCATAATATCTGACAGTGTAGCCTTTGTGATTTTCTTTAAGGTAGCTTTATATCTGACATGTAGCCTTTATGATCTTCTTTAATGTAGCCTCATATCTGGCAGTGTAGTCTTTGTGATCTTCTTTAAGGTAGCATAATATCTGACAGTGTAGCCTTTATGATCTTCTTTAATGTTGCCTTATATCTGACAGTGTAGCCTTTATGATCTTCTTTAATGTTGCCTTATATCTGACAGTGTAGCCTTTATGATCTTCTTTAATGTAGCCTTATGTCTGACAATGTATCCTTTATGATCTTCTTTAATGTAGCCTTATATCTGACAGTGTAGCCTTTATGATCTTCTTTAATGTAGCCTTATATCTGACAGCGTAGCCTTTATGATCTTCTTTAATGTAGCCTTATGTCTGACAATGTAGCGTGTTTATATGGTATTGTGTAACGAGTTCAACATTATGGACTTGGTACAGATGTGTTGAGTCCAAAGTTGATGTGTAAGACCATGTGTTCTTCCTTCAAATATTTTGTATTATTTGTTTACGTAGAATCACGGTAATGTAAGATTTATTTGATATGAATTTTGAAAACTGAAATGGCGCGCTTAAAAGTGATGACAATAATAATGACACTTATGATGACACGAATGATGACATTAATGATGACACTTATGATAACATTAAATGATAACACTAATGGCGATAATAATGATAAAATTCATGATATCAATAATAATGACAACTTTGATGAGTAAATTTGACGTAAAAACATTTACAGAGTGGAAAGTGGATTATTATGTAGGCCACAATTTACAAGGAGTGGGCACTGGAGTTGAACGTTAAGTGGAAAGTTCAATGGATAATGGAGTGGATAGTGGAGTCAATAGTGGAGTGAATAGAGGAATGAGGGCACGGTGGAGTGCAGAGTGGAGTAGGAATTTTGATTTGATATCGAAGTAACAATGGGAGAGTAGATTTTTGTGATAAGTGGAGTGGAAAGGGGAGTGACAGTGGGAGTGGAAAGTGGAGTGACAGTGGGAGTGGATAGAGGAGACGATAAAGGAGTGTGCATCGGAGCGGAACGTGTAGTGGATATTAGGGAGGAAAGTGGAATGGCAAGTGAAGTGGATAGTGTACATAATAGATGAGTGTACATTAAATAAGAAATAAATAGTGTGGAAGGCAAAGTAGCATGTGCAGAGGATTGTGGATTGAAAAGTATTGACAAATGAAGAGAAGAGTGTTGGGGATAAAAATTGTTTTTAAAAAATGGGGGTGGGGGGGGTCGATTGTGGAGTAGAATTATTTTTTTTAAGACTAACACTACGCTACATAAAAGAAACACATTGAGTTAAATGTTTTTTGAACGAATAGAATTTCCTTACACAATTTATGCGATTGATATAAAAAAAACCTAGCGGCCCTTGACTTTTCAAAAAAGTGAGAGTTCTCGCCCTTAACTATTGAGTAGCGCGGAGTGAATTGAACCAACGGAAAGGATATTTGCACAATTTCTATTGGAACAAAAATGGCTATTGGCACTCTTTTATTACTTAAGGGCCTCTTTCTAATAACGGAATGTTATTTATAGTTGTTTTTTTTTAGGGTTCGATTTAATCGATCTACTCCAGTACGTTTTTTTTTTATTTTAGTCCTCTGAACACAAGCGTTTAACATTTCTTCAAAGTAATCAACTGGAATCAGTGGCGTATGCAGAAAAAAGCAGATTTGTTTTAAGGGTTGGGTGAAATATTTCAATTTCAAAATAATAAATTAATTTTTATTTCACCCTTAGATGTATCGTCAATCATGTCTTACGACCATGTGTTCATAAATCCTTAAATAAAGCTGTGAGGCAAAACACGTGTGTCTGGGATGGGGGTGGGGGGGGGGGTTGGATGAATGCCTGCCATCTCATCAACGCAGACATGGGTCTGCCTCTGAATAGAATATATTGATTTCCGTTTCAAACATCGTTATACATATTAAAATATATGCTATTCTAGAAAGATTTATACAATATTTTAAACTCTCAAAATGTTATAAAATAAGTTTAACTGTATGAAGATGTATTAAAAGCTAAAAATTATTCATATTTAGTTGCCCATAAACGACACCCCATTCCCCAGGCCCCCGTTCCCTAACCCACTGCCCTAACCCCCTTCCCTAAACCCCCTTCCCTAAACCCCCTTCCCTAAACACCCCTTCCCTAATCACCCTTCCCTGACCCCCATTCTTTAACCCCCGTTCCCTAACCCCCTTCCCTAACCCCTTCCCTAACCCCCTTCCCTAACCCCCCTTACCTAATCCCCCTTCCCTAACCCCCCTTCCCTAACCCCCCTTCCCTAACCCTCCTTCCCTAACCCCCCTTCCCTAACCCCTTCCCTAACCCCTTTCCCTAACGCCCTTCCCTAACCCCTTCCCTAACCCCCTTCCCTAACCCACTTTCCCTAACACCCTTCCCTAAACCCCTTCTCCAACCCCCCTTCCCTAAGCNACCCCTTCCCTACCCCCCTCCCCTACCCCCCTCCCCTCACCCCCTCCCCTACCCCCCTTCCCTAACCCCCTTCCCTAACCCCCTTCCCTAGCCCCCCAACCCCACCATGATCTACGCCAATATATCTTTCAATAACAGAAAGCGCTCTACTTGTTGGAAGAGTATCTAGGCTAAGTTGGGCACTTTCCTTACCACTTTTGTCATAAATACCTTTGAGGTATGTTGCTTTCTCTGGGACTTCATGTGTGAAATATTGCACAACTTTATTTTGTTCCAATGTGTTTCATAGCGCAATGTAATGTACTATGTGTCCTTAAATGTAAAGCTTTTAACTATTAATATGTCTTGTTTCTATGTTCTGTGACATTTTGTCATTATGTACCATTATTATGTGGTGTAACTATGAGCTGTGGCGTCTTGTCATTATGTCCCACTATGTAATGTAACTGTGTTCTGTGACATCTTGTCATATGTTCCATTATTCTGTAATGTAGCTAGGTTCTGTGGCGTCTTGTCATTACATTCCACTATTGTGTAATGTATTAAGTGTTCAGCGATAATTTCGAATAATGTCTAATAATTGGTAGCAGATGATATTATTTAATTTTAATTATGCAATGTTATGTCATGTGACAAAGGAACACATACAGTTTTATATTTATGTAATTTAATAGCATGTAATAAGTGTCCGGTAATATAATACAATCGTCCAATATTCTGTATTGTACCAGGTAATAAGAAGCATTAAATGTTATGTAATTATGATATTTTATGTAATGATGTAAGGTTATGTATTGATGTAATATTATTTAATAATGTAATTTAATGTAATGATGCAATGTTATATCATGATGCAATGTTAGGCAATAATGTAATCTTATGTAATGATATAATGTTATGTTTTGATGTAATGTTATTTCATTTAATAACTAGTGAGTAAGTTGATGTAATGATTCCAAATATATTTGACAAGAACTTTTCGATGATGTTACAGTGGCACGGACAGCAACAGTACAAGGCAAGCTAACATGTGGAGTAAGCTAGCTGCAGTAACTGCCTTACTTGTAGGGATACTTATTGGGTTGTGGCTCTTGGACGACAATAAGCTGGGTAAGTGGACGTAAGCTAAGGGCGATTTGTTCATTAGGAGCGTGGGGTATATGTCGTTGTTAGTCGACTTAAGGTGGGGTATGTGTCATTGGAAGTTGACGTTAAGTGGGGTATGTATCAATGTTAGTGGACGTAGGGTGGGGTATGTGTCGTTGGTAGTGGACGTAAAGTGAGGTATGTGTCGTTGGTAGTGGATGTAAGCTCGGAAAGTGTTGTTAGTTGTGAGCGTAAAATGGGGTACGTGTCGTTGGTAGTGGACCTAGGAGTAGGACACAGAAACTATTTCAGAGTCTCATTGTGGCAGATGGTCGTCTAGGAGTACGTCCCTTCTGTGCGGCCACAGAAACTATTTCAGAGTCACATTGTGACAGATGGTCGTCTAGGAGTAGGTCCCTTCTGTGCCGCCACAGAAACTATTTCAGAATCTAATTGTGACAGATGGTCGTCTAGGAGTAGGTCCCTTCTGTGCGGCCACAAAAACTATTTCAGAGTCTCATTGTGACAGATGGTCGTCTAGGAGTAGGTCCCTTCTGTGCGGCCACAGAAACTATTTCAGAGTCTCATTGTGGCGGATGGTCGTCTAGGAGTAGGTCCCCTCTGTGCGGCCACAGAAACTATTTCAGAGTCTTATTGTGGCAGATGGTCGTCTAGGAGTAGGTCCCCACTGTGCGGCCACAGAAACTATTTCAGAGTCTCATTGTGGCAGATGGTCGTCGAGGAGTAGGTCCCCGCTGTGCCGACACAGAAACTATTTCAGAGTATCATTGTAGCAGATGGTCGTCTAGGAGTAGGTCCCCACTGTGCAGCCACAGAAACTTTTTCAGAGTCTCATTGTGGCAGATGGTCGTCTAGGAGTAGATCCCCACTGTGCGGCCACAGAAACTATTTCAGAGTCTCATTGTGACAGATGGTCGTCTATGAGTAGGTCCCACTGTGCAGCCACAGAAACTATTTCAGAGTCTCATTGTAGCAGATGGTCGTCTAGGAGTAGGTCCCCACTGTGTGGCCACAGAAACTATTTCAGAGTCTCATAGTGACAGATGGTCGTCTAGGAGTAGGTCCCCACTGTGCGGCCACAGAAACTATTTTAGAGTCTTATTGTGACAGATGGTCGTCTAGGAGTAGGTCCCCACTGTGCGGCCACAGAAACTATTTCAGAGTCTCATTGTGGCAGATGGTCGTCGAGGAGTAGGTCCCCACTGTGCGGCAACAGAAACTATTTCAGAGTCTCATTGTTGCGAATGGTCGTCTAGGAGTAGGTCCCCACTGTGCGGCAACAGAAACTATTTCAGAGTCTCATTGTTGCGAATGGTCGTCTAGGAGTAGGTCCCCACTGTGTGGCCACATAAACTATTTCAGAGTCTCATTATGACAGATGGTCGTCTAGGAGTAGGTCCCCACTGTGCGGCCACTGAAACTATTTCAGAGTCTCATAGTGACAGATGGTCGTCTAGGAGTAGGTCCACACTGTGCGGCCACTGAAACTATTTTAGAGTCTCATTGTGACAGATGGTCGTCTAGGAGTAGGTCCACACTGTGCGGCCACAGAAACTATTTTAGAGTCTCATTGTGGCAGATGGTGGTCTAGGAGTAGGTCCCCACTGTGCGGCCACAGAAACTATTTCAGAGTCTCATTGTGACAGATGGTCGTCTAGGAGTAGGTCCCCACTGTGCGGCCACAGAAACTATATCAGAGTTTCATTGTGGCGGATGGTCGTCTAGGAGTAGGTCCCTTCTGTGCGGCTACAGAAACTATTTCAGAGTCTCATTGTGACAGATGGTCGTCTAGGAGTAGGTCCTCTCTGTGCGGCCACAGAAACTATTTCAGAGTCTCATTGTGACAGATGGTCGTCTAGGATTAGGTCCCTTCTGTGCGGCCACAGAAACTATTTCAGAGTCTCATTGTGGCAGATGGTCGTCTAGGAGTAGGTCCCCACTGTGCGGCCACAGAAACTATTTTAGAGTCTCATTGTGGCAGATGGTCGTCTAGGAGTAGGTCCCCTCTGTGCCGCCACAGAAACTATTTCAGAGTCTCATTGTGGCAGATGGTCGTCTAGGAGTAGGTCCCCACTGTGCGGCCACAGAAACTATTTCAGTCTCCTAGCCTTACAAAGCTGATGTGTAGTAAAGTAGAATCGTTTTAAAAAAATAATAATAATAACTCAATATACGGTTTGAATAAGCAGTATTATTTAATTCGTTATATACTGGGTTAAACTCATTCTACACTAGTGACAAAACAGTAATAATGGCGTTCACAGTGAAAGAAATAAGAAGATGTACTCATATCGACACTATGATAACTCAATCATTAAAAGGAAAATGGGCTTAAGATGGTTATGTGCTGTGAGCAGTGGGCTTAAAGTGGGTTTGTGCTGTGAGCTGTGGGCTTAAAGTGGGTATGCGCTGTGAGTGGTGGGCTTAAGATGGTATGTGCTGGGAGCAGTTGGCTTAAGATGGATATGGGCTGGGTGCAGTGGGCTTTAAATGGAAATGGGCTGGGAGCAGTGGGCTTAAGATGGATATGTGCTGGGAGCAGTGGGCTTAAGATGGATATGGGCAGGGAGCAGTGGGCTTAAGATGGATATGGGCTTTGAGCAGTGGGCTTAAGGTGAGTATGTTCCTGCGAGTGGTGGGCTAAAGGTGTGTATGTGTAGTAGAGCAGTTGAAGGTTGATTGGACCCCTATATCAAAGCTAACAATTTAAATACTTGTCAGCATAAAAATATAGCATATTTCCTCACGATCAAATATCATTTTACCACTTTTAGAAATTAATGATTCCGTTCTGGAAATAAATTCATGGAGTCTCTCCTGACTAGTCACCGGCTGAAATGTTCAACTAAAATTTATTTTAATCAAATTTTCAGAATGGCTGTCTCAATATTTGCAATTAACGATCGTGCTTTCGAAATAGACCGCGGAGGGATTTCTGTGGGGTCGCGGATTGATTTCTGTGGGGTCGCGAAGGATTTATCGTGGGGTGGCGGAGAGTGTATATATATAGTTTTAACGTAATTATCATGTGTGTCTTAAAATGTTTATGTCCCCAAATCTATATTTTTTTTAGCTTTAAGATAATAAATAAATGTCCACTCTCTGCTGAATCTTTGCTTTCATGGGGTTTTATTTTTAATTGCGTTTGCGATCGTTCCAATTAAAATGACATTTCTGTTTTCAGATACCATCAAAGGTAAAAGAGTTCTTGTGACCGGGGCGAGCACTGGGATCGGTGAACAGCTTGCATACCACTATGCAAGACTGGGGGCTCATGTTGCTGTTACTGCAAGAAGGAAGGACGTACTTAATCAGGTGATTGCAAGATAGTCTTTGATACCAAGATGTCCCCCCGCCCCAACCCCAAAAAAATAAAATAATAATAAAAATAAAGATCTATGACAAATTTTAAATGACGCTCTACATGAAAGGTTTTAGAATAGGCTTTCATTAAACGACCACACACAAAAACACAGGTTAAATGCTACATGTAAGCCTGAGACACACATAACACAGTTTAAATGATCTATACACAAGATGGCGGCCTTTCAAAGTTTTGAATACAGAAATTGTACACAAATCAAGAAGGAACTGTGAAATGATTATCATAATTACAAAATTCAATTTCAGGGAAGTCAAAGTTGCCTTGAGCTTGAGACTACGCCTTACAGGCATGTATAGAATCAAGCTCTGGATCATATTGTAGTTTTATATGTGTTCCTGTTTTCTTTGCGTAGTCGGCCATCTTAGCTGTCATCGTATGCTTGTACTTAGTTTTTGTAGTGTTGCGTTTGTTTTAAATGTGGTAAACTATAGATTTGTTTTTTGTTGACTTTGTACCGCGCTTCGAGCCTTTGGGGATGAAGCGTGTTTTTGAAATGAACTTTATTATTATTATTATTATTAAGACACATACAAACACAGGTTCTAAGATCTATAAAGGCCTAAGACGCAAACAAATATAGTTTAAACGCTACATATAGGCCTAAGACACACACAAATACAGACTAAATGATCTATATAGACCTAAGACACACATACGACAGTTTAAATGATCTATATATAAACCTAAGACACACATAAACACAGGTTAAATGATCTATATAGGCCTAAGACACATACAAACACAGGTTAAATGATCTATAAAGGCATAAGACACACAAACACAGGTTAAATGCTACATATAAGCCTAAGACACACATAAACACAGGTTAAATGCTACATATAGGCCTAAGACACACACGAACACAGGCTAAATGATCTATAAAGGCATAAGACACAAACAAACACAGACTAAATGATCTATATAGACTTCAGACACACAAACACAGACTAAATGATCTATATAGACCTAAGACACACAAACACAGATTAAATGCTATATGTAGTCTTAAGACACACACAAACGCAGGTTAACTGATCTATATATAGGCCTAAGACACACACAACAAATTGAAATGCTCTATACAGGTGTAATCTGTAATGATACAGGTGTAATCTGTAATACATGTGCTGTTTAAACAGGTAATTGAGCGATGTAAACAGATAAGTCCCCAGAACCTGACGCACTTCGCCATAGCTGCCGACATGTCACAGCTCAATCAGACACAACTTGTTATTGAGGTAAGTAGCCCCAGACAATTTACTTGTAAACTTTTTGTAGTAGTTTAATAAGGTAACCCAAACAATCTACCTACAAACCTGTTGTAGTAGTTTAAAACGTAACCCAAACTTGCAAACTTGCTGTAGTAGTTTAATAAATGACTTAAATTTACAATCTTATGCTAGAAACCCTCCCCCCCCTCTTCCCAAGCACCGAAACAACTATATTAATAGTCTATAAATGGATGTCAAGATTTTTCACTCATTATATACACTTAACGATATTAAATTATGAATAAACTATTGATCCCTTATAAAATAACATACCTTTTTATTGTTTTACAGTAATTTTAATGGCTTCGGGGTTGTTGTTTTTTTTTTTTTTTAATTCCACAGGAAGCCATTGCATTATTGGGTGGCCTTGACATTGTGGTACTGAACCATATCGCGAGCCTGCCCATCTCACTCTTCACAGGAAGTCCCGAGAACTTAACATCATTCGATCGTATCACAGAAGTGAATTTTAAGTGAGTCAAAAATCATGTTCATATAAGTGTGTGAAACAGGTGTCAAGTTTAGTCTTAAATGTGTGTTTTAGTTTAATATGTAAATCTAGCTGTGCTATACAAAGTAATTACAATCAATATTAATATAATATAAGGCTACCGTCAAAATTAATGCATTATGTTGTGTAGATACTATTGTGCGATACACGATTTTAATTGAAGTTTCAAACTTGTTCGTATAAAAGCTATTTTTTTAAATTTGTTTCGTAAACAAAAAGTGTCAAGTAGCCTACATTGAATAGCAAATTGATCTTGTTCATTATCGATGTCAAAAGACGCTTAGCCCCATTAAATAAAATGTATGACATCACAATGTGAATTAACATTTCTATTTTAATTATGTTGTTTATTTTCTATGTTAAAATAACGTTCAAAAGGAACCTAAACTTTCCTGTTTGACTTCCAGGTCGTATGTTTACCTGGCATCTTACGCTCTGCCACAAATTATTGCAAACCATGGCAGTATTGTAGTGGTTAATAGTTTATTAGGTGAGTACATATGGCAGTGTTATAGTCAATAGTTTATGAGATAGTGTCTTGCTGTGTGGCACAGTTTGCATTGCTGTTTGGCACAGTTTGAATTGCTTTTTGGCACAGTTTGAATTGCTGTTTGGCACAGTTTGAATTGCTTTTTGGCACAATTGTACTGCTGTTTGGCACAGTTTGAATTGCTGTTTGGCAGAATTTGCATTTTAGTGAGGCACAGTTTGAATTGTTGTTTGGCACAGTTTGCATTGCTATTTGGCAAAGTTTGTATTGCTGTTTGGCAAATTTACATTTTTGTGGCACAGTTTGCATTGTTGAGTGGCACAGGTTGACTTGTTGTGTGGCACAGTTTGCATTGCTGTGTGGTAGAGTTTACATTGTTGTGTGGCACAATTTGCATTTCTGTGTTGCACAGTTTGCATTGGCATGTGGCACAGTTTGCATTGCTGTTTGGCACAGTTTGCATTAGTGTGTGGCAGATTTTCATTTCTGTGTGGCAATCTGAGCAAACTCTTTAAATTAGATGTGTCTTAAGTAATGTTTAACTATAAAATACGTAACAATGACTTAATTCTGCACTGTGTATATTAAGGTTATAGTTTTATATACTCAGGGAAAGTGCAGGTACCAAATGTCCAGCATGTGCTCTAAGTAATGGCTAACAAAATTTAAGAACAAGATTATTAAAAACTAGACTGCTAATAAAATATGTTTTGAAAAAATGTTGTGTGTTACACAATATGGCCATTACATAATTAAAGGAACACATTTTTTAATGATTTTAATACATTGAATAATATTTTCGATTAAAATTGATTTTTTATCATGAATGCTTTGAACACAGGAAGAATTCCACATGCATTTCTTGGAACCTATGCGGCCTCCAAACACGCACTGCGTGGTTTCTTTGAGTCTTTGAGGAACCAGTTCAGTCTCTTGAAACAAGATGTTGCTGTGACCATCTGTACATTGGGTTTGATAGGTAAGCTGGATATAAATGTACCAATGTATACATCACTCCTTACCAACCCCATGATTAAAATGCTACAATAAAATAAAGAACTTCATCATTTTTTCACATTTTTTCTTCATCTAGGAACAGACAATGCCATTGAACAGTTGAAAAGCTGCACATTCGATAAAACCCTGGCCACTATTAGTCCAGCATCACCTGTTGACACCGCCCTGGCCATCGTCACTGCAAACGCAAGGCGTCAAAACGACCTGTACTTCCCTTTCTGGTCAACATGGTCTATTTCCCTTTTGCGGAGTCTTTTTCCCCAGACTTCCGATTGGATTATGGTGACTCTAATATATTAAAAGTATCAAAGTCAAATAAGATTTCCTCAGATTGTAGATTGGATTCTGCTGATGCTACTCTTTCAATAAGGTCAACGTTTTAAGACTGTTTTAGTGGCTTCAAATACCTCAACTAATTACTGTCCTTAAAACCTCATATCAGACTGCAGGTACAAACCAGTTTTGTTGAGAGGGGGAAAAAATGCGATGTTACAAATTATGGCATGTGTTTAATATGTAATGATGAGTTTATATGATTGTTAGTATTTATGATGTTAGTTTATATGATTGTTAGTGTATATAATTGTAGTCGTATATCATTGTTAGTGTAAATGATTGTTAGTTTATATGATTGTTAGTTTCTATGATTGTTATTTTAAATGATTATTAATTGATTTGATTGCCAGTGTATATATTTTTTAATTTATATGATTGTTAGTTTATATGATTGTTAGTTTATATGATTGTTAGTTTATATGATTGTTAGTTTATATGATTGTTAGTTTATATGATTGTTTGTTTTTACTTTATATTTTAAAAGATGTAATAATATATAAATGAATGTATTTTAAAATGTTCAAAATGAAATAAATGCGAGGTTCTTCACACACAAGTCTTCTTTTTCTATGATGTAAGGGAAATAATCTTTGTTACATCTTAGACTTTTAAAGAAAGCAATAGTCAACTTGTTGAATACATTATGCTCTCCCTTGATCTCAAGAACTCTAGTATTTTTTTTCTCCATAAAGTTTTTTTTTTTTTTTTTAAGTATGTGGATCTTTTATTATTAGATCCAGGATTATTCTATTAAGTGGCATCGCAAGAATATAAAAAAGTGATTCAGAGAAATAGAGATATTGAAATATAGAGATATAAGGTACAGAGATATAAAGAGTTAAAGATATACAGATACAGAGACACAGAGATGAAGAGAAATAGTGATTTCTTATTCTATCAATCGATAAACTTTGAATGTTATTTAAAAATTAGACAAATATTCCGAAAGAAAGACTTGTGTTAATATTAGATTTTGATGACACAAATTTTTTATTGTATACCAGTAAAACAATAAAGCTTTATTAATCGTAATGAAAGAGAAGGTACTGGTTAAATACTGGAGATAAATCAATTGAAGTAAGTTTTAGCCAAATTAAAATACAATGAAAACTTATGTAAAATTTATGTTTATTTATAAATAAATACAAGTTTTTGTGACTAACCACATTGCAGACTGTTCTCACTGTTAAGCTGAAATTTTCAAGGCCAGTAGAACTAGACTGTGATTTAGACCATTGAGGATATATCATGTTTGTTACTCACATAATTTATTTTGCTTTTTAAANTCTGTTCTTTTCTTATCATAGTCATGTATTTTTTTGTTTTTTGTTTTTTTTTTGTTGCAACATTTTTTTGTGTGGATGAATTTTTAGAGTTCGTTCATTTTTCTTTTCAAAATTGATTTTTTTTTTTTTTTAAACATATTTGATTTCATAATGCCAGGATTTGGATTTGTTCCCAATTTCAAGTTATTCAGATTCTTTAATAATAAGGAAATGAAAAAGGATGCAACAAAACAACGAGCGTGTTGGCAAGATGCCTTCTTCAGCAAACAAACAACAGTAAAAAAAAAAAATATACAATTTAAAATTTTAAAAATACTTATCAGCAATGAAGTATCTGAAATGAAAGAATAGGAATGTGACAGAACATATGTAGGCGAGAGGGCAGAATAGGAAAGTGACAGAACATATGTAGGCGAGATGACATAATAGGAAAGTGAGAGAACTTGTGTAGGGGAGAGGACAGAATAGGAATGTGACAGAGCATATGTAGGAGAGAAATTTAATACATGCAAAATTGGACGGAAGGAAGGAAAAGTATCTCCACTGCAAGTGGAGGGAGGGGCAGAGAAAAGCTTTAACAGTGATTGAGAACATAACAGTCATGCCGTAGGGGGTCAACTTCCCATAATTCTAGATCAGTGTGTTATCTAAGTTCAACTTGTTCGGCGTTTTGGTACAAGACTCAATGGCGTTGATAGCAAAATCCCTTGAGTCCTTGTGAACATAAAAACCCAAATCATTAACTCATTAAATACTTCTGTGTCATTCGATAATGACTGGTTCATTTAATTTTATATTCTATAAATACAGAAATGTAATTTATGAGTTTTGTATCATTTATTAACTCCTGACATCCATCACAAGCATTAGTTAGTAAAGATATTTATATTTCAGCATTACTAAATTATCATTATATAACAGCATTAGTAATTACCATTACAAAACAGTGTTATTGTTTATAATGAGCTTTTCTTCATCATGTAAAAATGTTGAATAAAATAAAAGATGACATTTGACTCATTATTTTTAAATTTTAGTTTATTTTAAATATTGCTAATTCACCTTCAATCATTATGTTTTTTAATAAAAGTTTTATATGTAACTCAAGTTATTGTTCTATTTCTTTGAATCTTTCTGCTTGACCTTCGTGTACTATACCGTATGAGAAGGCTATCACCTAAACAGATCAAAAATATATAATACTAGAACACAGCCCGCCAAACATTGGTGACAGCAATTCGTGAACTTCCCATCTAGTAAAGTTACTTGACAAAAACGTGAACTCAAGTCACGCACATTAAAGAACACCAATTTTGCAACACCCCTCCCTCCTCCCCCCCACCCCACTTTTTTCATGATACGTCACTGCACACTTTTTATGTCACGCCCATGAACTCTATCAATATTTAGCCGACCCATGCCTAAGCATACGCCGCGAGCTTGTTGGGGTGTTGGCGCACGGCTGGCGTGTGAGGGTGGTGCAGGAGGGGGGCGGTAACTCCACCGCAATGTGCATGACTTGAGACCAACGATGTGCAGGCAAGGGAAGGGAGGGTTTGCCTGCGTCTTGCTTGCTATGGCATATCTATATATGGCCTGCGTGGTCTTGCCCTAGTTTTTCTGGCGAATTATATTTATAGATAGATATTGTATTTATAGTCTTTATTAATTTTATTTTTGAGAATTTAAGATTACCCTATTTAATGTGCATCAATGAAAGCATTTTTTTTTTAACTCACTATCTTTTACTTTAAGAAACAGGGATTATTATAATATAGTTTCACACGAATTATTCTCTCTGATGCTATAAGCAAGAAAGAAAAAAATTATGAGAAACTTGATTTTAAAAAAAAAAAAAAAAAAAAAAAAAAAAAAACAACAAAAAAAAAAAAAAAAAAAAAAAAAAAAAAAAAAAAAAAAAAAAAAAAAAAAAAAAAAAAAAAAAAAAAAAAAAAAAAAAAAAAAAAAAAAA